TATAAGAAATATATATACATATATATGTATAAATATTTTTATTTGTACACATTAAAAAAAAAATAGATAAAAAAGAGTGAAATTATATATTTTACTATATATTTATATAGTATGATATATAAACTATATTGCAAATTACAACATATGCAAAAGCTCCATTAGCACAAAAGCGTGTGTGAGTCGACGAGAGCGCGCGTATTCTGTTTGATAGACTCTCTCTCGTACATATTCAAGGATCGCTGGCGACTTGGGTCACACCTGTTCGGGCATTAATGCAGTAATTCCGAAACTTAGTGAAGAGAACATAGAAAATAAATGCCGCACGCGAAACAGAGACAAGGACGAGGAGAATAAGAACAGCGACGGGTATAATAGTAGTAGCGAAAATGGACGGATCCGGCTAAACGAGCAGATTCGTAAATCCCTTTACTGCCGCGCGACGGAGAAGCTTTGATACTGACGAGCTTAGCGCTTAGCGACTTTTCCGTAACCGTGTCAAGCCGGCCTAAAAGACGAGACGCGTCGCGCCGAGTCTTTTCACATTAAGAGCCATTCGTCCGGATCTTTTTTGACATTACGTCTGCCTTCGAGATTACGAGCTCGAGACGCGCTCGTAACGCCGAGCGCTCACACTGGATTTTTCGCCACTGTACGCGCGAAAAGTCATACACACCCAGAGATACCCTTCCGTCAGGTAATCTGATCTCATTGGCGCGACGGAGACTACTTTTCAGTAGAGCTTCCAAGTGTCTTTCTCTCCCCATCTCGCGGCAAAGTGTGTCTCTCTCATATCTTTTTCTCTCTTTGTCTCTCACGGGAAATTTTACTTCGCCCCCAAACAAATGAACCGATATATATTATCGCACAAACGGTCTTACTCGCACTTGATTTACATCGCAATTATCTGGGGAGAACTCATTAAAAAGTAACTGAGACAACGAAAGTTCTTGCGACGGATCAGCGCGATCTTTTACAAATGGAAATATCGATAATGCGCGATCGTCGTTTACTCTTCCGAATATTTTTATCAGCGAATTATATATCGACGAACGGCTCGTTGTTGTGAATATTCGGGGATAGCGCGTACACCGAAAAAATTATATTCTCGTAAGTAGAAGATTTTATACTTAAAAAATCTTCTTAGAGATTTTAGATGATATTCTTCTGAAATTAAGAATATATTCTTTATTTAAGAATATAGTCTTTTTCGATAGTGAGATATATATGTTTTTCTATAGAGGCTTTTTATATTCTAATCAGTACATATTCTTATCAATATTACTATTTAGAAAATTTTCCTCTTAAAATAAGAAACTCTTCTTGGCGCCTATTTTAGTATAAAATATACTTAAAGTAAGTGGGATATCCTCAAAACAAGAATACAATTTTTTCGGTGTAC